CGCGAATTCAAATTCTTCGAATTGTTCCAATTATCGGAGATAAAATAGAGATTCGAATAAAATAGAGATTTAAGAAGAAATTTAAGCTTATTGTAGTATTGTAAAATATAAATTGAGCAGTTGTATGATAAAGAAAGGAGGACACGTTTTTAATTTTGAATTGAATAATATGATAATCGATCGAGATTTTGAAAAAAATCTTTCCACGGAAGAGATTATGAAGATTATATTTTATCTTAAGTATTTGACTATTCAAATATCAAACGTAAGGATTAAATTTGTGTTATCACTATAACTTTCAATTGAAATAATTCTATCAACGATTACCAAAAATCTTTCCACGAAAAAGATAATAAAAATTATATTTTATATTAAATAAAGAAAGTACTCGAGTACTATTGAAGATAAGAATTAAATTTGTTCTGTTATAGTAACAAAAAAAAAAAAAAATTCTTTGTTACACTTTCAATCAAAATTATTTTATCAACGATTACCAAAACTCTTTCCACGAAAAAGATAATAAAAATTTACATTTTATATTAAATAAAGAAAGTATCTGACTAACAAAAAAAAAAAATTCTTCGTTATACTTTCAATCAAAATTATTTTATCAATGATTACCAAAAATCTTTCCACGAAAAAGATAATAAAAAAAATATAAACAAATAAAATTAAATAAATAAATAATATAATAAAATAAAATTACACTTTTTATATTAAATAAAGGGACTACTTGTCTACTCGAGTACTATTAATAAAGCTAAGAATTAAACTTATTCTATAATAACAAAAAAAAAAAAAAAGAATTTTTCGTTACACTCTCAATCGAAATAATTTTATCATCGATTATCAAAACTCTTTCCCCGAAAAAAATAAAAAAAAATTCATTTTTTATTAAGTAAAGGAAGTATCTGACTAACAAAAAAAAAAAAAAGAATTTTTCGTTACACTCTCAATCGAAATAATTTTATCATCGATTATCAAAACTCTTTCCCCGAAAAAAATAAAAAAAAATTCATTTTTTATTAAGTAAAGGAAGTATCTGACTAACAAAAAAAAAAAAAAGAATTTTTCGTTACACTCTCAATCGAAATAATTTTATCATCGATTATCAAAACTCTTTCCCCGAAAAAAATAAAAAAAAATTCATTTTTTATTAAGTAAAGGAAGTATCTGACTAACAAAAAAAAAAAAAAGAATTTTTCGTTACACTCTCAATCGAAATAATTTTATCATCGATTATCAAAACTCTTTCCCCGAAAAAAATAAAAAAAAATTCATTTTTTATTAAGTAAAGGAAGTATCTGACTAACAAAAAAAAAAAAAAATTCTTCGTTCATTTTCAATCGAAATAATTTTATCATCGATTATCAAAACTCTTTCCACGAAAAAGATAATAAAAATTACATTTTATATTAAATAAAGGAAGTATTTGACTAACAAAAAAAAAAAAAAAGAATTCTTCGTTACACTCTCAATCGAAATAATTTTATCAATCATTATCAGAAAATCTTTCCACGAAAAAGATAATAAAAATTACATTTTATATTAAATAAAGGAAGTACCTGATTATTCGAGTACTATTAAAGAATTAAACTTGTCCTATATCTAATAAAAAAAGAAATTCTTCGTTACACTCTCAATAAAAACAAATGGAAATAATTTTATCAACGATTATCGAAACAAGGAAAACTTTTAACGAAAAACATTTACACGTGAAAGGAATATATCGTATATCGTAACGTACAAGAACAATCCGAAAACTAATTAACAAAAGTGAAATACGTTCAAAACTAATAGTTACTCCGGCGGAACACTATTACGCGCAAAATAAGCGAAAAACTTTTGCAGCAAAACTCGGGCGGAAAATATCTCGCGGAGCGGGAAACGGATGGGAAAATGTTCTCGTAATAACGATGATTTAATGCGGAGAAACGGGTGGTGGAACGGGGGAAAATATTCTGAGGGAAAACGTACGTTTGAAAACGGAAGGATGGTAATAATAATTGCGGATCCTTGTTCTTTGGTTAAGCAGGGGACGGACAATCGCGCAACAAGTTCGCATCGCGGCGGATGGAGGAGAAAATCCGGAAGCGGAGAGTCGAGGAAACCGGTGCACCTGTGCTCCTACTTATTTCCGTCTATTCGAATCCTCGGTAAACAGGCGTATTCGTGATTCGAATTAAACCGCGAAAATTTTCTATTTCCTGTTTGACAACGAGTTTGGAAAATTATTCGTATTGCGTTCGATTGATTAATTATTAGTTTTGGAAAAATGTTGGATATACTTCATCTCGTAATTGATAAGAAATCGATAAAAGGTTTTCGTTTCTAACGTTTCGAACGTGCAGAAATTAAACCGCGGGAAATTTTATATTAATATTTCCGTTTGACAATGAAAGAATTCGAATTCATTTTCAATTGAAGAATTATTCATATTCCAATTGTATTTGATTTATTAATTTTGGAAAAATTAATTCGTATCGATACTTCAATTGATTTCCATCGTTTCGAATCTGCAGAAATTAAAGCGCGGGAAATTTGTATTTCAGTTTGACAATGAAAGATCGAATTCACTTTCAATTGCAGAATTATTCATATTCCAATTGTATTTTGATTTATTAATTTTGGAAAAATATTGGTATCGATACTTTGTCTTCTAATTGATAAGAAATCGATAAAAGGTTTTGATTTCCATCGTTTCGAATCTACAGAAATTAAAGCGCGGGAAATTTGTATTTTCGTTTGAAATGAAAGATCGAATTCATTTTCAATTGCAAAATTATTCATATTTCATAATTGTATTTGATTTATTAATTTTGGAAAAATATTGATATCGATACTTCGTCTTCTAATTGATAAAAATTCAATAAAAGGTTTTGATTTCCATCGTTTCGAATGTGCAGAAATTAAAGCGCGGGAAATTTGTATTTTCGTTTGACAATAAAGAATCGAATTCATTTTCAATTGCAGAATTATTTTGATTTATTAATTTTGGAAAAATATTGGTATCGATACTTCGTCTTCTAATTGATAAGAAATCGATAAAAGGTTTTGATTTCCATCGTTACGAATATGCAGAATTAAATCGCGAAAAAATTTGTATTTCCGTTTGACAATGAAGAATCGAATTCGTTCTCGTTGGAAAATTATTGCTATCGATACTCGTTTCAAATCGTTTCGTAACTGACAAGAAATCGATATTAGAATTTTCATTTCCATCGATTCGAATGTGCAGAATTAAACCGCGAAAAAATTTGTATTTCCATTTGACAATGAAGAATCGAATTCGTTCACGCTGAGAAATTATTCGTATCGACACTCGTTTCAAATCATTTTATAATTGACGAGAAATCGATATTGGAATTTGATTTAATAATTATTTTTAGAGAAATATCGGCATCGATTTTAAATTAAAGATAATAATTTCAAATTATTTAGTAATTACAAAATTACGTACTACGTGTAACATAAATAAAGTGTCAATAAACGATCGATATTAGAATAATCGATTGTTTATACATCGATTTATCTATCAACAATGAAAAAATGAAAAAAAAAATACTAAAGCAATATTAATTCTTAATTTCCTCCCCCCCCTTTTTAAATTCATAAAGATAAAACAATTGATTATCAACGAAGAGAAAAATATTAATAAATATTCATCACGATATTAAAGAAACTAGAATACTAAAAAAAAAATTATTATTCATTACAGTACTAACTAGCATCAATATTAATTCCTAATTCTCCCCTCCCCTCATTTTTTAAATTCACAAAGATAAAACAGTCGATATTAAAATAATTGTTATCAACGAAGAGAAAAATATATTAATAAATATTCATCACGATATTAAAGAAACTAGAATACTAAAAAAAAAAATTATTATTCATTACAGTACTAACTAGCATCAATGTTAATTCGTAACACCCTCCCTCTTTTTTTTAAATTCACAAAGATAAAACAATCAATCAGTATTATCAACGAAGAAAAAAATATATTAATAATATAAAAATATATTCAACACGATATTAAAGAAACTAGACTACTAAAAAAAAAATTATTATTCATTACAATACTAACTAGCATCAATGTTAATTCCTAATCCCTCTCCCCCTCTTTTTTAACTTCACAAAGATGAAACAATCGATCAGTATTAACAAGAGTAATAAATATTCACCACGATATTAAATATCAATTCATTTTAAAAAAAAAAAAAAAAAAATCACGTGAAAAACGCGAAAAA